ACATACTTAAATTTTATCATCATTACATTTAAAATGAGAATTATTTTTTGTGTCTTCATGGAAAAATATGTAGGAAACTTTTAATATGTGAATAACAGATACAGTACTTTTTTAAAAGATACACTGCATTAGGCACAGTGGTTCATGCCTTGTAATCCCATCTACTCAGAAAACTAAGGGAGGAAGACCTCAAGTTCAAGGCCAGCCTAGGACGTTTAGGGGAAAACCCATCTCAGGATGAAAACAGTTGGTAATGTTGCTCACAGGTAGATGCCCTGGGTAGGGTGTCTGTAGGAACCAGCCCATGGGCTCGAACCTCACCAAGGGGTGACAGGGATGAAAAGTAAAGAGACACAGAACCCAGGTTAAAATCTGGGGGGCCAGGAAGCTCGTGTCTCCCTTCGACATAGAGCCCCAAGTGACTGGCGCCCCTTGGCTTTATTCAGTGAGACACACGCTGGAGCAGTTAGGATCCCACAGGCCTCACCTGTCTCCGCCCTCCACGGTAATCCTCGTGTGAACACCTCAACCTCAGGTGTTCTTACTTCCCCTGCAGCGTGTGAGCACGCCTGCACGCCCTCTTCTCACTGCTCACAGAGGCAGCCAGTTAGGCCTCATTCTTCCCATCTGGTCTCACATAAGTGTCATTTTCTTTCCCCCCAATTCCTAAAGAAACAGCATTTTAAAAAACTACCAGATGATTCTGGGCATGGTGGTCCACACCTGTAATCCTAGCACTCAAGAGGCTGAGGCAGGAGGATCACTGTGAGTTCAAGGCCAGCCTGGGCTGCATAGTGAGTTCAAGGCCAGTCTGAACTACATGGTGAGACCTTGTTTTAAAACAAACTACCAAATTAAAATGTATTTATTATATAAAGTTTTGGAATATACAGAAAGCCAGACACAAGCTTTCTTAATTCTACAATACAATGGCAGCAATTTTTTAAAAATTTAAATTTATTGGTACAATTTAAATATACATAATCACTTTCATCATAGAGAATTTACCTGTTCATGGTATATCTTCATTCCTCTTTTTCTCCCAATTCCCTCCCCTCTGTTCAGTCTCCCCCTCATTTACAAAGCTTTGTATCAATTTTATCCTTTTCTTATTTTCTTTTCCCTTCCTTCTTTCCCACCTCCTACCTCCCCCCTTCCCAGTTCCCCTTTCCTTTTAAACAGTTTCTTCCTATTTCACATTATGTATTACCATATTTTGGCCCTTATTTACCCTTTCAGTTTCTTACACCAGGGAGAATGCGATATTTACACGTGTGTCCAGTTTATTTCACTTAAGAGTAAAGTGTCAAGTTGCAGCAGCCATTTTTAATATAAAGACTCACTCAGTGTCATTAGGCTTCTTACATAATCCATACTTGGCCACTTACTACTTATTCAGCATATATCCTAGCATAGAACACAGTTGTACCTCAGTTCACGAACTTAATTCTTTCCACGATTCAGGCCACAAGTCGAATTGGATGAGAATTGAATCATTCAATAGTTAGGTTCAATGTTGAGCTTATGGGGGAATTTGATCTAGAATTGTGGAAAGGATTAAGTTTGTGAACCAAGGCACCACTAAGTTTAGTATGAGGTTCTGTTTCTCTTGCTCTAATGAAAGTGACAATAATGCTTATGTATCAGTAATACTGTGTGTTATTTTGCATATCTTAGGCACAAGTACCTTGTACCTGTTTGTTGTCATTCTGTATATCTGTGTATGTGTATACATACAATATATGTATAAATAAGTGAGCCCTTACATTTATAAAAGGTATGCATATGTATCTGAATATGTATATCATTAAGACAGTTTATAAACATTTTTAGTGTTTATTGTTTATCCCATGACATTGTCATGGAGCAGTAGATAGCACTTTTCTCCTACTGCAAAAAAAAAAAATTTTTTTTTTTTTTTTTGAGATAGGGTTTGGTGGTGTTTCTCAGGCTGGCCTGAACCTCCTGAGCTCAGTACTAGAGGTGCAGACTACCATGCCCAGCTGGTTAATTTTTTTTCTCCTGGTCCTGGAAATTGAACTCAGTGCTATCACACTTAGCTACATCACCAGCCTTACTTACTTTATTTTATTTTAGTTGAGTTGAGTTGAGTTGTCCAGGCTGGTTTCAAACTTGGAATCCTCCTTCCTCACCCTCCCAGAGTACTGAGATTATACACATGCTCCGCTACCAGCAGCTTAACTTTTTAAGGAAGTTTTTCTGTCTCTTACTGTGATAAACAACACTGATGTAATTTCTACGTTCAATGAATTTAAGAGTATTTCTTTAGATTCCTCGAAGTAAAGTTATTGGCCATTTTTTAAAGTTAGAAATATTTGTGTGTGTGTGTGTGTGTGTGTGTGTGTGTGTGAGAGAGAGAGAGAGAGAGAGAACGTGCATGCACATGTTGTTTGCTTACTTGCCCAAAAGGCTAATTTGAATAGCCATTTGCAGTGTCCCTAAGACCTGATCCCTGCACAGCATTGGGGTTCTCTTTTTTTTAAAAATGCTCATATTGAGAGAAAATACTGAAGTTGATTTGGACTATTTTAATTTAAAGTGTATAATTTCTAAGGCTATGTTTTAATATACCTGGCAGGCAGTTGAAAAATCAGGGTTTGTAGCAGTGTGGAGATACAGCAGTATTCACAAGCAAGGAGGGGATATTTGAAGACTTAAGAGTTTAGGCAAGAGAAGAATTATATTTTAATCCTGTTTTATGAAACATAAATATGAAGTTTAAGGCTTCTCAAAGCATGAGAAATCTTCAGTGTGTCTTTTCAGGCTTATTACTGTTCTTTTCTTTCCCATTTCTCAGTAGCATTTCTCACAAATTTAGCCACATGAATTTACTATCTTTGAGCCTTCTCACGGAAGAGTCTGTGTTCTCTATTTTTCACCAGTAATTCTATCCTTATTTCAGTGTCCCTTCCACTGTGAAATACCCTGTCCTATAAATCCCGATACAATATCACATTCTTCTGTTTCCCTGGGACTGGGTTCCCGCCTCATCTGTTACTCATGTTTTTGTTTTATCTCATTTCATAACAAGTTTTTCTTTTGATCTCCTTCAAATAGTGACCTCTCCACTGTCTTCTGTCCAGGAAAGGGCTTTGTTCCCAGTTGTTCTTACTAACTGGCAAAAAGATATACTTTCGGACCGGGGATTTAGCTCAGTGGTTTTGCCGCCTTCTGCGCAAACGCAAGAACCCGAGTTTGATCCCCAGTACAAAAAAAAAAAAAAAAGAAGATATACTTTGAAGAAGCCAAACAGACATATACAAGAGCAAACTGATATCCACAGTTGTCTAACTTCAGTAATGGTAAAATTGAGAGAGAAAAAGCCATGGGGTCTGAGTCTTCAGAATTGTAGTTTTACTGTCATTTTTGGTACTATTCCATTTGGCAGGAAATCCTTACCTTTGGAAATACAGAAAGATACTCAGGCGCTAAGCATTGTAAGCCCACTCTATCTCTCTCTCACGGTCAGGATTTATACTTGTCAGTTTTTATCTTTTGTGTAAACTATAGGGAGTGCAGACATGTGCCTGGTGGCCTTTTTATCGGTATATATGAGTTAAAATACTATTTTTCATTAGGCCTTAAATTTTTAAGTCATAAGAGTATCATACCTGTGATAAAAATTCAAATAATACCAAGATATACAGAATAAAATATACAAGTCCTTCTTTATACTCTTAATATTCCTACTTCTTTTTTTTGTGGTAAAGAGCATGATTTCAGTATTTTCATTTTCTTTTTCTTTTTTTTTTCCTTTGGCAGTAGATTGAACTCAGGGCCTTCACACTGAGCTATATTTTCAGTCTTTTTTAATGTTTTAAATTTTGAGACAGGGTCTCACTAAGTTGCCTAGGCTGGGCTCAAATTTGAAATCTTCCTGCCTCGGCTTCTCATACTGCTGGGATTACAGGCACGGATCACCATGTCTACCTTCATTCCTGTTTATTTGCTTTCACCTGTCAATCTGAATTTTTTAAAACACAACTGGGATATAGTTGTATGTGTATGTATAGTGACTTGGTTTTCATTTAACAGTGTATGTTGGAGAGGCATGTTAGGACATATTGATTTTCTCCTTTTAAATGCTGTATACAAACTCTGAATATAGGTCTTGCCAAAATGGAAAAATCTAGGGCATGTGTAAGGCCCTTCATGTCATTGCGGGATAGCCAGCCCCAGTGATGCTGAGACAGATGAATGCCTGACAGCACAGGCTCTTACCCTTGACTTGTGTGTATGAATATTCTGTCTTACTTCTTTTCAGTTTAACTCTTTTGATCTAAAAAACATTTTCTTCTACTTGCTTGGCACACATTTGCACTCAGTGGTATGTAAAATGAATGAATGATCAACAGACTTGTGAAAGAATGTTCTGTGTTGAAGAACAAAGTTTTAGTAATGAATACAAAGTTTCTACCGATGATGATTTTTGTGTGGTATCTCAGATTGTCTGTTATTGAGTTAATTATTTCATTTTCCTCTGCCAAGGATTCTCTGGCAGTAGCTGTAGGAATGTAATATCCAGGTTTTTTGTTGACGGGGTTTTGGTGGTGCTGAGATCAAACCCAGGCGAGTATACTAACATTGAACTATACATCACCAGCCCTTAGAACTTACTACCTTTTTTTCTGCTTTGGTTTACTCTTTGTTGCCTCCTTGCCTTTGGATTATATTTGAAAACTTTGTTATAAGTTGAATTCTTTTCTTTTTAGCATCCAGTTTTGGATGAACCAATAGCAGAAGCTGTCTGTATTATAGCTGATATGGATAAATGGACTGTCCAAGTGGCTAGCAGCCAGAGACGA